CCACTGGGTCATGTATCCTTGAGGACATCTGTGTATGAATTTTTGGGGCTTATAAACCTGTTTTACCAGTGTTCATTTTGCAATTTTTGTTATTATTATTGTATTTTTTAGCAGAGCTGATATTGCAATTTTTTGTTGTTATTCATTGCCTTTCTCTAACACTCCTTATTACTGGTTCTCATATTGTATTCCTTTCTATGCTTGGCCGGCTCAGGAGATTTTTGTGGCCTAGCATATGTGCTGACTCCTTAAGTTTTCGTATTTTCCAGTGATGCTCTCTGTCTATTATTTAAGCTCATCCCACAGCTAGCGGTGATTTCCCTTTTCCCTCCATGTGTGGTCAGCTACGCGTGATTTTTCTATTTCCCCTTGTGTTACCGCTTTACGATGTTCTTGTAGTCGTACCTTAAGAGTGCAGCCTGTTTCTCCTTTGCAGTTCTTACCACAGCTGCACTGTATGGCGTACACGCAGAGCCTTTGTCATGTTGGGCGGAAGGTTTTACTTTACATATTAGTTCTTAGACAGCGGCCTTTTTCCACTTTGATACCGGAATAATGATTGTATAAGATATCTATATGAATTCGAAAAAACAATCCTCTCATATAATACTGGAACCGTTTGACTGAAGTTAATAGGACAAAAAAGACGATATTTTACGTCGATCTAATAATTCGGAATTTTTCTCTAAAGCACTATTTTTGAATTCGAAATCCAAATTTGCGTATTTTTTTCATTCGAAATATCTTCTTTCTTCTTTTAAGTTCTTCACTGTTATCTTTCCGCAGTCTGAACGAGGCGTCGATGAGCATCGAGAAACCTTGGTCTTGCAGGATCAAGATGAGTTTTGCAAACGCTTACAAAACGGCAAAATCTAACAGAAAATGTAAAATTTACGACAGCCAACGAGACACGTGATATGGGCCTGAAACGAATTATTATAAGAGTAACTTCAGGTCCGTAAATGTTGTAACTGTTTACAGATAGGGAGTGGCGCAGGCCTGTGTAGGGTTACGAGACCGACAGTTGCCCATACAGCACGTCTCCTCTTCCAAGCCACCGATGAGTCCAAAGGAAAGGCAGAGACCAATACAAGTTGTTACTGGCGTCGTCGCAGGAGTTTCCAGAACAAAACTGAATACGACATCAGACAATCTTAGGGATTCCGACTCAGGATCTGAATTCAGAGTTATCTTTCTCATAGTATGGTTGCCAACAATGGCTACAGAGCTCACACTGCCCTATTATTTACCCATAGTTGAAGATTTGGAATCCATTGTGATTCCTTCTCCTAGACCGGTTGCCACCCAAGGCCACCAAGTCTGATCTACTATTTATCCATAGCTGATGGGAAAAGGAAAGGATCCATAAATTTGTATGTGAATGTAAAGAAGTCGATTGGTATATATATATATATATATATATATATATATATATATATATATATATATATATATATATATAAGTGCGCAGGTATGCAGAAAATAGAAAAGAACACGTTGGGTGCATAATCGGAGTTCCTTAGTATTTTTGTCTTTATTTTTAAGAAGACAGTGCTCCATACAGAAGTAGATCTTTATTATAATAATATTTTTTGTTTTGCGAAGGAAGCATATTTTTAAACAAAAAATATTATATATATATATATATATATATATATATATATATATATATATAGTAGCGGCCATAATATAAGGAACGGAAACAACAAAGACATATGTGTGTTACTTAAAAAGTAATGCATGATTAGCAATGAAATTTTTACCGAATAAAGATTAGAGTGTAATGCATAAATATTATACAAAGTTTCTTTTACTAACTCTGCCTCGGAGTTAGTGCAGTTTTCTTTCAGTGTCGTCGGCTTTAATTATATTAAGACATTTTTATGTTTTTACATTCTTTTTTATAGATACAAATATAATGTTGTTAATACTGTTTATTATAAACAGAGGATTTACTTAAATATTTATATCTATAAAAAAAGAATGAATAAACATAAAAATGTCTTAAAATAATTGTTGGACTTTGTCCATTTATTAATTTATATTGTTATGATTGAGTTCGACAAAAGGGAATCCTGATAAGGCTTCTACTCTTTGAATAATTTCGTTGTAAGATTAAATAAATCCAGTGAGAACACGAATCCTTGTGTTTTGTCTCTTTCACAGCTTTCCGTACTTGCTTTGTGGCCTAAAATTTTTGTTAAATTATTACAAATTAACAGGATTTAATTTGCAGACAGTTTAAAACAGAACCCTGGAAATGTAAATAACGAAAGAAATAAAGAAATAAAGAAAGAAAGAAAAAGTAATGAAGATATAAACGGAGAAAAGGAAAAAATAAAAAAGATAAAATTTATAAAAGCCAAAAAAATAAAATAAAATGAAAATTATGAATGTAAAAATAATCGAAATTAACGGAGGAAAATGAACCAAGAATTATTTATCTGGCTTCATTAATTTTGACGCAACGCTATTACTATAGATATCCAGAGATCCCAGCGGAGATCGAGTTCTAAGCAAGGCAATAAAGTCACTAAGAAGCAAGGACAGGATTTAAATAGACACAACATGACGGTTGACATTGCATTTACATTTCTACGATAGTACTTGGCAGAAGAGCAAGAATTCGGATGAATGTTTCGCAAGCGAGAAGTGCGAGAGAAAATATATTAGAATAGTACTGATGGTCACATCTAAAACGTTGTGTTCATTACATTCAGTTACGTGTAAATACCATTGGAAACGTCTTAAATTCATCTTTTCCCTCCGCTATAGGTTAAATAGTAGTAATTGTGTCTGAAAAAATCATAGCCAGTCTAAAAAAAAAATTAATACAATATTCCATCAGAAAAAAAAGAATTATTCTTACAATACAAAATAAGTTTTGGTCTTAAATCACCCACAAAATGTTTATAAGGCTTTAAAAAATATAAATTATTTGCTTTTGTCTAAAATTGAAACAACATTCTTTTTGTATTTTCCCGGGTTTTTTTTATTATTTTTTTTCCACCCATTTTCGCACTATCGCCATTAAGACAGTTTTCAAAATGGCGACATCGGAAATTTTTTGTTTTATATATTTCTAAGTCAGCAAAGAGATATTTATAGAAAAGGCACAGCGAAGCTACGTTATGATGGTGGGAATGTGACTGAAGCCGAGATGTCAGGTTAGGACCTATAATCGTTCAGCTATTTCTTAAAATTTTTTTAAAGAATGTCTTGATATTTAGCAGAAACACCAAATGTGGAGGCAATATTCAGTGCTCGACAGATTGGTACCTTTATAAAGTTGCAAGGTAGATCATGATGAGAAAAAAATGTCTAGTTCCACACATGAAACCAACTATCCTAGAAGCAGAACTAGCAACTGATTCAATATACTAACTTTAGACCGAGAATGCGCAAAGAAAAGGCTTCTCAACCTCAGTTATGGGTATTGGACCGATATGATTTCCCTGAAGAACCTTTACTTCGTAACTTGCGGTAGATTAAATATATGCTGGCGCCAGATCCCAGTGAAAAATCAAGTCATGTACTTAAATAACTTCGTCAAATCCAGACTTTCGTATGGATAAAGGCATGGCGCTAAACCCGTTCAGAGAATAACTAAACTGTCAGTTGTATACAACCGTTTCCTAAGATCAACTGTGATAAAAGAAAGCTCGTAAAACCTGACAGTCTTGCCAAATATTATACATTTTTTACTATTGTAGACAGGCGCTACAGATTCGCAAAGAAGTGTACCAAATAAGAGGAACAACATCAATTGAAGACTACCAACAGCAGTAACAACTAAAATGAGTAGCATATGTTACACGAAGAGAAAATAATGACACAATCAAGACGCTGACATTCCACACTACATTAACCGCCGTTAATACTGGAAAGAGAGGTAACAGATACTGGACTTCTTGAAAAAACAGTTTTAAGAGAAAAATCTTTGAATTTCAAATGTAGTACTGGCTGTTTGGTCAATGAACGTTTCCTTGTTGGAAAGGACTAATATTACTGTAGCCATTTTGAGTACATACCTTACAAGGCAAACGCTTTTATACAGTCATATGGAGGTCAACGACTTATTCCCAGTGCATTTCATGTCTTGACGAAGGCATATGAAACGGGCATTCTTTAAATATTAATCTCCAATTTTTGATGGAAATAGTAACGTTATTGGCGATTTTGGAGGCAGTGGTGGTTATCGTAAGTCGGTGGGTCACCATCACGATAATTTTTGTATCCACGCGTCTGAATTAATGGAAATAATTTTTTTTCTTTCGTTTTAATTCTCAAGGGTTATAAATTATTTAATGTGACGATTTGTCGGAGACGCTTGCCAATTCTGGATTTGGCAATGAGAAGCGAAAGGTGAAAGGAGAGAAAAATGTCGGTGGATGAAGACATTTTGAAAGAATTACAGAAGAAATAGATGCCAGTTGGAAAAAAAATGAAGGAAATTTTTCAGAATATGAAAGAATTAAATTCATAAACAAATAACAACGGAAAGAAAGAAAGAAAGAAAAAAAGAAAGAAAAATAGGAAAATGAAGAGCCATGAAAAGGGAAAGATTGAAAGAATGGTATAAAGATATAAAATAATACGAACGCGAAGAAACCGAAAAAAAAACACAGAGAGGAATAGAAATAGCTAACTATGCTATAAAAATAGATAGATAGATAGATAGATAGATAGATAGATAGATAGATAGATAGATAGATAGATAGATGAGAATAGGCTGAGATAGATTAGAATAGGCTAAGATAGATAGATAGATAGATAGATAGATAGATAGATAGATAGATAGATAGATAGATAGATAGATAGATGAGAATAGGCTGAGATAGATTAGAATAGGCTAAGATAGATAGATAGATAGATAGATAGATAGATAGATGAGAATAGGCTGAGATAGATTAGAATAGGCTAAGATAGATAGATAGATAGATAGATAGATAGATAGATAGATAGATGAGAATAGGCTGAGATAGATAGATTAGAATAGGCTAAGATAGATAGATAGATAGATAGATAGATAGATAGATAGATAGATGAGAATAGGCTGAGATAGATAAGAATAGGCTAAGATAGATAGATAGATAGATAGATAGATAGATAGATAGATAGATAGATAGATGAGAATAGGCTGAGATAGATAGATTAGAATAGGCTAAGATATTTAGATAGATAGATAGATAGATAGATAGATAGATAGATAGATAGATAGATAGATAGATGAGAATAGGCTGAGATAGATTAGAATAGGTTAAGATAGATAGATAGATAGATAGATAGATAGATTGGAATAGGCTAAGATAGATAGATAGATAGATAGATAGATAGATAGATAGATAATGAATACATACATACAGATTTATAAATAATGCAGAGGGATTAATAGTTTGATCATGAATACATACATACAGATAGATATATAATGCAGATATATAAATGATAGATAGAGAGAGATAATGAATACATACATGCAAATATATAGGTAATGCAGATAGATAATGAATTCATACATACATGCTCAGATATATATATAATAATGAATATAGATAGATAGATAGATAGATAGATAGATAGATAGATAATGAATACAGATAGATGAATAGATAGACAGGTAATAAAGACAGACTGACAGACACATAGATAGATAGATAGATAGATATAGATAGATAGATAGATAGATAGATAGATAGATAGATATTATGGAACTGACATAAATCTAAGAAAATCTATCCTGTAATCAAGTAGACTTTTTTTTCTATATTTACCAAAATTCACCTAAAAATCATATTTAAAATGAGAATGAATAACTTTATAACAAATGCATTCATACAACCCTCACCTAATTTTAGTTACTCTAAAAAGGTTGGAATATATATTCTGTTTTTACTTTCTGTTCATAAATTTCTCCACACATTAATCATCGCGTTTTTTCCTCTAACGAATCCCTTAATTTTCGGTCTGCATCAAACGACATTGATGGTAATCATTCTATGGAGACTTTTGACAACGCCTTTGTGTTAATACATCCCGCTATTTTTTGATGTTATATATAGGTCTGCTGCTAGAATATTGTTGCCGCATATCGTCCGGCGCCCCTGCTATTTACATTGAGCTCTGTCGTAAATAAGAGATGGACTGCGACACTCCCTTACGACACCGTATTCTTTTACGTCCTGTTCTCCGGATTACGACAGTCAGCCATATTCGAGAATACCAGGAGCACGTGTGAGGTGAACTCTGCTTGTATTTTACCGAATAAAGCTTGAATGAACTTATCTTCCGAGTCTCAGTCTTCATTCTTGACAAGCTCATTGATAAAATCAAAAGAATAATCAGCAGTATTATCGGTTCTGATCTGCCATCTCGGTTAAGTCACTTTCCTACCGGCGTAGAGTTATCTCCCTTTAACTTTTTTTTTATAAATACTTACATGGCAACTGTTCGCTGTTGGACCCAGACTTTTTGAATTTAAGTGCAGCACTAAAGTTGTTTTGGGTTGTCATCAATTTACAGATCAGCTAGCTAGATATAACTGTATGTTCTATGCTAACAGTTTTTTTTGGTTTTTTTTATTGCATTTCTCGTTTGCGGAACTCCGTTCCTGCTCTATGCTTTCCAGCCAACTTTAATCTCAAGAAATGTAAATGCAATATCAATCGCTATCTACTTGTCCTGATTACTCTTTCCTCTTCCCGCTCATTGGTAATGTTTTTGTTCTTAATTCTTCCACATCTCGTAATCCTTTATGTCTTAGCAGCTTTACTGACTTGCTTAGGGTGAAATCGAATAAAAAAATATGACTCAAAAATCAATATAATCAATATATTAGTTCACTGAAGACCCGACGAATAAAGACTTTGTTGGTTATGTTTACATGTTCATCCCTTTTTGACCCCCAAATCCTAATTAGTTTTTGCCTTGCAGTAAGCAAAGTTGCTGTCCTGTTTCTAATCCCGTATTACTCTTTCTGACAACCTTTTACTCATAAACGATGACATGTTTGAAATATAAGCAAAGAAACCAGTTGTGATCCGTTTTAGGTCCCACAAATTTTCAGCCTCGGAAAATCTGATCACAGATTACGCCTTCTGACCATTAATATTTTTCTCCCAATACAAGGCACAAGAGCCACTGAAGGTTTTGTTTGATTTGTTTTGTATTACGGTATATCAACTTCAGTGGGTAATTTAATGCCGACAAGATTTTTATTGCTCGAAATATTTTTTCAAAAATGTATTGCTAATCATATTTCATTTAATTTTTTTTCAAAAATGTATTGTTAATCATATTTCATTTTATTTTTTTTCAAAAATGTGTTGCTAATCATATTTTATTTTATTTTTTTCAAAAATGTATTACTAGTCACATTTCATTTTATTTTTTTTCGAAAACGTATTGCTAGTCATATTTCATTTAATTCTTTTTCACAAATGTATTGTTATTCATACTTCATTTAATTTTTTTTCAAAAATGTATTACTAATCATACTTTTTTTTTTCAAAAATGTATTGCTAGTCATATTTCATTTAATTTTTTTTTCAAAAATGTATTGTTAGCCATATTTCATTTTATTTTCTTCAAAAATGTATTACTAGTCATATTTCATTTTATTTTTTTTCAAAAATGTATTGCTAATCATAATTCATTTTTTTTTTCAAAAATGTATTGCTAATCATGATTCATTTTATTTTTTATCAAAAATGTATTACTAGTCATATGTCATTTTTTTTTTTTCAAAAATGTATTGCTAGCCATATTTCATTTTATTTTTTTCAAAAATACAATGCTGGTAGTAATTTTTGTTTTCAAAAATATATTGCTAATAATTTTCTTTTTTAAAATGTATTGTTGGAATTTTTTTTTCAAAAATATTTTTTTTTAAAAATGTATATCTGGTAATATTTTCCTTCAAAATGTATTGCTGGTAATATTTTTTTTCAAAAATATATTGCCGATAATATTTTCTTTTCAAAAATCTATTACTGGTAATATTTTTTACAGAACTATATTGCTGCTAATATTTTTTTCAAAATGTATTGCTGCTAATAATTTTTTTTCAAAAATCTATTGCTGGTAATTTTTTTTTTCAAAATGTATTTCTGGCAATATTTTTTTTTAATTATGTATTGCTGGTAATATTTTTTTCAAAAATGTATTACTGGTAATATATTTTTTCAAAAATGTTTTGCTGCTATATATTTTTTCAAAATTTATTGGTATTAATATTTTTTCCAAAACCGTATTGCTAGTAATATTTTTCTCAAAATGCATTGCTGACAATAATTTTCCCAAAACTGTACTGCTGGTATTGCTAGTAATATTTTTTTCTTCAAAAATGTATTGCTGTATTTTTTTTTTCCAAAATCTATTGCTGGCAATATTTTTTTCCAAAAATGTATTATTGGTATTAAAAGTTTCAGTGTGTTTTGACCCCAATTTGGGGGTCAACGCTACTCAAGATAAAAGACAACTAAAGATGGATGATGTATGAGCGTACAGGGAGGGATCAAGAGTTGTGTATCATGTAGATAGATAACGGTTGACCCAAAAATGCAATGATCGGGGAAGCATCCTTTCGGGTGTGTCTTCAACAGCGCAATAACTGTTTGAGTGGAATTTCCTCTTTAAACATGGAATGTGAAAGGAATAAGGATAAGTCGATTCTGTGTGCGCGACTTTGTCGGTCCTAGCTGTGAATGTCTGGACTGATGGAACCAAGGACTCAAGAGGGTTTTAATAGCGGTGTCAAGAGAATAACTATGCTTTTTGACGCAGGTGGATTATTACGGGTACGAAGGTTAAACGTTGCCGAGGAATCACTAATGAAAATCTCGGAAGACAGAAAGAAAAATGAATTGAGAAAAAAAAAAAAAAATGGAGAAAAAGAGTTTTAAAAAAATAACCGAAGGATAGAAAATTGAAGAAAAACAGAAAATGGCGACATTAAAAATAAATTGAAGCAGCAATAAAAGAAATACCGAAATTTTTACTTAAATTAAAAGTTACTTGAGACAAAATAAAACTATACTTTAAGAAATAAAGACGGATATAAAAGTACTTTCTGTCGAAGTTTTGGGGATAGGGAGTTATTTACATTATTTATAGTATTTACATGCGGACTATTGTCCTCATCTTTGTTGTTGTTATCACAACGTTTCGGCCGTTGTACTCTCCGGCCTTCAGAAATACCGAAACCTTGTGGATGAGGACACTAGTCCGCATGAAATTACATAAATAATACAATAACTTATGGGTTCGCCTATCGTCCGGTTCACACTCCTTTTTCATCTATTGAAACAAGCTTATCGTCTGTTTTCTTCGGCAGGGTCGCGTCTCCGGCTACTTCTATTCAACACTTCTCATTTTCTTTCACCTCGCCACTAACCTCTTGCGTTTTGAAATTTTATTTAAACCTAATAAATGTTTACTTTAAACTTTTGGTAAGAAAATATTTAAAGAATGAAAAACATAAAGAAAGAAAGAAAGAAAGAAAGAAAGAAAGAAAGAAAGAAAGAAAGAAAGAAAGATGAAAAAGAAAGAAGATAGTAAAATTAGGAAGATAAAAAGAAAAATAAAGGTGTAAAGAAAGAAAAAAAGAAAGAAAGAAAGGTTATAAAAAGAAATGTTATGAAAAAGAAAGAAAGAAATGAAAAAGAAAAAATAGTAAAATTAGAAAGTAACACAAAAAGAAAAATAAAGGTGTGAAGAAAGAAAGAAAGAAAGAAAGAACGAAAAAGTTATAAAAGGAAATGTTATGAAATATGGAAGAAAGAAAGAAATGAAAAAGAAAGAAACTGTAAAATTAGGAAGTAAGATAAGAAGAAAAATAAAGGGGTGAAGAAAGAAAGAAAGAAAGAAAGAAAAGAAAGAAAGAAAGAAAGAAATGAAAAAGAAAGAAAATAATAAAATTACGACGATAAAAAGAAAAATAAAGGAGTGAAGAAAAAAGGAAAGTTTATAGAGATAAATGTTATAAAGAAAGAAAGAAAGAAATGAATGAAAAAGAAAGAAAATAGTAAGATAAAAAGGAAAAATAAAGGTGTGAAGAAAGGAAAGGTTAAAAGGATAAATGTTATGTGTAGGGAAGAAAGAAAGAAAGAAAAAAGAAAGAAAGAAAGAAAGACATAAAGAAATAAAGAAATAGAGAAAAACTATGAAGGTAAAAGGAAGGAAAAAGGAAAGAAAAGAATACGTTATGAAAATAAAAAGAAAGCAAAAGAAAAAAATAATATAGGTCTTTGGAACAGGCGTCAAATTTTATCCCTTGTTTCCTGTTAAGGATTGAGTTTCCGGTTCCTTCATCTAAAGTGATCTTATTTTCTTTCATCACCCCACATTCCCCTACCCCAGTAAATCGTTTCGTCTTAGTGGCATTATCGCCTTGGTTGGTGCGAAATTATTAATATGATATGAAAGAAAATAATGCTACGAAATAAGAAAAGAATGCTTATTAAATGAATGGAATTTTGTACGGAAAATGGTCGCAAGAAAGCTTACGAAAAAAAAAAAAGAGAAGAAGAAATAAAACAACAGGACAAGAAAAAGGAAGAAAACTTGATAGATTTGAAAGAGATAGGAAAGGAAAAGGCATTTGATTAGGGCCGATAAAGATGAAGAGGAAAACACAGAAAATAAACAAAAAATAGCGATAGAGCTGAGTTTTTCTATAGTCGCTACGATCATTGCAGAGTTCTCTCCCTTGTGTACGCCAATAAACTGTGGCATGAATTTAAATGAGTTTCCTGCCAGCGGGGAATCGTCTCTTCTTGTTTTATTAAATGGATTCCCGTTAGCATTTTTCTGATGGCACATGAAAACGTGAAATGTTTCTATTCATTTCTCAATAGAAGCATCACTTGACACACAGAAAACGTCTTTGCATTTAATCGTGAAACACACTGTCGCCGCTGGGTGTTGACCTCCATGTCTACTTTTATATTTTACATGCAACTCTATCCTTGATACTGAGCACTTTTACCCAGAAATATAGCATACCAGTCAGTCAGTTATGTGCCATGCCTTTTGATACATGTGTAGCGGACCGAGGGTTTACGTGTTGTTAAATTAGAAACACGTCTGTAACTCCAGATAAAATATTAAAAGTCCACTGCAAGAATATGGCGGACTCAAGAGATGGGTTCAACCGAAGATGTAAAGAAGTAAAGAAAACAAGACCGATATATATATATATATATATATATATATATATATATATATATATATATATATATATATATATATATATAATTAAACAAAAAATTTATTAAACTATGGACAAAGACATCAACATTTGTGTTTGTGCGTGAACGTAAAGAGTTCGTATTTTGATGAATGTTCGTACATACGTGTATGTGTGTGTGTGTGTGTGTGTGTGTGTGTGTGTGTGTGTGTGTGTGTGTTTGATGGCGTTTTCCCACAAGTGGGCAAAACGCAAATCTCTGCGAGAGGTCACATCCTTTAAATGTGTCCGCTGAAATGCAAAGTAAAAAGAGAACGAGTCAAGAAATCGCCCAGTATTTATAGCCTAGGGAGAGCGACCTCTAGTGAACATTTAGGAAATTAAGGAGGAGTTAACTCCGACACATGACTCACGGGGTAGATTTTTTTTTCTCCGCAGAAGGTTGCCGTTTCTTCCTGCGGTAGACCAGTTGTCATACAAGGCTAAAGAATCCGGTCTGTCCTGCTGGAGATGAGTATTAGCATGTAAGCGAATGTAATGAATTCGAACTCGGCTCTCTGATTCCTCAATCCGAGCCTCTATTCCTTACACCACCGCGCCTCCACACACCATGGAACTAGTTGCTTTCATTTTCCGAGAATACTCGTCTACTATGGTGCCAAGATCCCTGTTACAGATAACTGCTCAGACACATAACTCCAAAACGGTAGATTTTATCAAAATTTCTTGGTTATTTTTTAATTAAGCATGTACATTTACACCTAAATAGAACAGCTCCCACTAATACAGCGTAGTTTATACTGCAACTATGCTGAGCGAGACTTAATTGCGCTTATAATTACAAAATCTGGCAAGGACAGCAGTTTGAACAACGCCACAGCACTCAAAGCCTCGGCCTCGATGACTGATGACTTCGTGCTAGCTCAACATTCGATGACATCCGAATTTTTTTTTTTCGATCCAGTTTCACTTCAAGGCTAGAGTCAACACCTGATATGGCTCTCATACACTATCCAACGGAACCACACGCTAGGATCACCTCCCCAAAATCGATAACATCAAGTACATGACAAATCATCCATTCTGAGATTGTATACCAAGTACTAATGGATTACATAGTTCTAGAATTAGTACGAACTGATTAAACCATTGAAGGCATGAAACTTACTAATTTTTTAAATCTGGAGGGTAGCACCAAACCATTGACCAAGTTTGAGGCATCATTATCCCTCAGGCTGCATGCAGGCAATTTTGAAGTCAGCCTGGAGGGGTGGAATGAGAAATAAATGAAAAAAAAAACTGCGCCCAGATAGTACCCTCAACAACCAGATATTTTCCAGCAAGTACTGTGGAAGGAGGGTCCTGTTGGTTTCATATCGGTTTCACTATCTGCCAGTAAGGAAAAAAATTACCTTTAGCTTCAACCTCATATTCGATATCGAAGCGACTGGCAACAACATTACCAGAGAAATATTTAGTCGTTGATCTAAGTGCATTTATTTTCAAAAGTTTAAATTTCGCTTTTACTGGGCAACTTTCAAAAGCTATTTACAGTTATTGGTCAATACACATGTTAATTCAACATAAGAATGGCAAATAAATGGTAACAGAATTAATTTCAACCCGGAACGTCAAAATGGTCATTTGCAGTTCATCACCGCGCTCAGTTTCTCATAAAAAATTCACGAATAGTTCTGTTTAGGTGTAAATGTAGATGCTTAATTCGAAAATAACCAAGGAATTTTGATAAAATTTACCGTTTTGAAACATCGACAATAAAAGTTCGGACTCATTCGTGTCGTGGTGGGTGAAGTTGAAATTAATTCTGCTCCTCCAAATAAAATCTTAACTAATCACATTTGTTTCATGCGCCTGTTTCAAAACTCCATAATTTGAATAACGTTATAAAATATTAGAAGAGTTTTTGCAACTCCTTATTGCTTGTGTAATCACCCAACGGGTGGCGTCATATGCTGTGTAGGCAGTGTGCAATGAAACCATTTCGTAACGCGAAACATGGGAGTTATTGAAGTGAGTTTAAATTTCTGCCTGACATGCTTCATTCAGTTTCGCACTAATACATTTGGTAAAAGTATAATTACATCTGTTCAGCCCACTCCCACCACAACAGACGAATGTTAAATCGCAGAATAGACTACGCTTTCAAGCCTTAAGAGGCAACCAATCAAGGAAAAGAGAAATGCTGAATTTAAAACTGAGGCAAAGGGAAATCAGACCACCACCACCACCACCTATTTCCAAGAAACTCAGATTATAAAGAATAGGAAGCAGTGGAGAGTCATGATCGTTTATGTAGCGGAAGTGACATAGTATTTAAAAAGAAAACACCCAAACGAATTACGTCACACGTTAGGAAATTAAGTCCATCATAAGGAATGAATACAGGTTTACATTTTCTAACACGGTAGAAAATAACGTTAAAACAGGAATTTATTACGGAAATACGAAATGAAATATTTCACTTAATATAAGGCCTAAGAGCTACTCAAGGTAGAGGGTTACCGAATATTACTGCTGTAGAGAACTAATAACTGAACGTTTTTAAGTTATGTAGGGTAGATAACGGTTGTGACGAAACTTGAAGAAGTTAACATCGTAGTAATCGGGCAAGCATCCTGTTGGGAGTATGTTTCACAAAGTAACAATTCAATGGAAGATGTAGTCTAAGCGGAACTTCCTCCTTACTAATGGAATCTCAAGCTGAATGAAGATTAATTCGACACTGTATACGTGGAATGGTGGGTGTTAGCTGTAAAGGTCTTAACTGGTAGTACCAAAGAATGTAGCTCGCCTCAACATTTGCCATGGAAATAGCGATAGGCTTGCAATGCTTCGTCTGTTGGAATAGGGTTTTAGGTTTGAAAATAACTCTTTGTTCACACGTGCGCGTAAACACTGAAAAGTATGGACGAAGAAACTCCATCCCTGGTATGGCAGAAATACTCCATTTTCAGCCTGATGGTATATCCTGGAGCCTTGCGCTAGGAATAGACAAAACATTTTAATTCTACTTTGAGATCTTTTTTTTCTTTCTTGATGTTAAATATATGCAGCTTTCAGCAATATCTTCAAGAGATAAATTCAAAAAACGAAGACAAAGAAAATCAGAGAAAAAACAGCACTAAAAATGAAGACAACAAAGAATTTGGGTTTGATTTGGTTTGTTTTACGGCATATCAACCTCAATGTGTTATTTAATGCCGACAAGATTTTTATTGTTGGTAATATTTTTTTTCAAAAATGTAGTGCTGGTAATATTTTTCTTTGAAAAATGTATTGCACGTAATATTTTTCCTTCAAAATTGTATTGCTGGTAAAATTATCCATGAAAAACGTATTGCTGGTAATATTTCCTTTTTCAAAAATGTATTGCTCGTAATAATATTTTTCCTGTAATATTTTTTTCATCAAAAACACTGTAAAATCTTTTACAATAAAGTATTGCTGGTATTAAAACTTATTTTTTCACTTTCATAGTATTTTGACCCCAGATTTGGGGTTTAGTATTTGCCCATAACTGGGACCCTAACAGGGGTTATCACCCCGGGTCAGAGTAAACCTGGGAACACCAGCAATTAAGAGGTGATCCCAAGTTCCTCGAAACCTCCTGATCAGAGGCCTTGCTGTTGGATGTAGTTTATCGTCTTACACAGGAGGACGTACGACAAAGGGGATAGGTAGAGGAGATAATGATAAACATGGGGAAGATGAATGGGAAGAAGCGGATGCGAGGAGGAGTATAGTAGGCAAAAAGACAGAGGAGGAGATGAAAAAAAAGACAGAAAGGCTAGAAAAAGAGATGAGAAGAAAGAAGAAATCAGATTTTCCAAAGCAGGGCTCGTCAAAAAGAACAAAATCAATTTTTTTTCTTAAACTTTCGATGGGCTTACATAATAAGGAAAGAGGGCATGGAAAATTTAATACTCACAAGACAGATTGAAGTTAAGAGAATCAACAGAAAGCAACGCATAACCTACCTGGCAAAGTTGAGCGAATGGCTATCGGAAAAGAGCTTGGGAGAGGTGGCAAAAATGACAAAAGTTATTAACAGTTGCAGGGAACAGGAAATCGTAGAGAGCCAACGTTCTAAAGAGACACGGTGCGTCGAAAAAGATGGTGGCAGTGAATGCTGGACAATTTCCTCATAGATAAAACAAAAGAGACAGAAGGATGATGAGAATACCATGGACCTGATATGTGAACAACGACCAAAATTTTAGATAAAATCGAAACAGTGACACCTGTACTTCACATCTGGAAGAGAGAGTTACAATTTCTAGGGCACATAATGAGGAAAGAAGGCTTGGAAAATTTGATACTCACAGGACAGAATGAAGACAAGAGTGACACTGGAAAACAAAACATAACCTAACTTCAGTAACTGGATGACAGAATAGAGCTTAGGAGGGGTAACGAAAAGACAGTATTAAGCGCTACAAAGGTCAGAATGTTGCAGAGAAACCTGATCGCCAACGGGACACGACAGATAGAAGAAGGAAAAAAACTCTCGCTGGAATTTTTATACCCGTTCACTAGAATGCACCCAAATTTTCAAGAGGCGTAATATTGAATACATTTAATAACATATGATGGTTTGGTTTGGTTTGATTTACGGCATATCAACCTCAATGTGTGAATTAATGCCAACAAGATTTTTATTGCTGGTAAATATTTTTTTTAAAAATGTATTGCTGGTAATAAAACCTATTTTCACAGAGTTTTGAACCCAGTTTTTTTTTGTGGGTGGGGGTAACTATTTTCCCATATCTGCGGCCCTAGCAGGTACTACCATCTCGGATCAGATTTGACTTGGGAACATCAGGTGGTTCCACGCTCCTCCAAACCTCCTGATCAGATGCCTTGATGTTGGATGTAGTTTATCCAGGACGGGGATGTAGTTTATCGTTATACTCAAGTCGGACTAACATGTGATTTTATTTTGGGGGAAGTAATGGGCACATAATGAGGAAAGAGGACTTGGAAACATTGATACTCACATGACAGATTGAAGGCAAGAGAGACAGATGAAAACGACGCAGAACCTACCTGATGAATTTGAGTCAATGGATGGCGGAGCAGAGATTAAGAAAGATGGCGAGAAGATAAAATTTATTGAGAGCTACAAAGGACAGGAAATTGTGGAGAGTCATGATCGCGACGAAGTGATGCGACACATAGAAGAAGAATCTACATGATTAAGATTTTACTTTTTGTTACTGTGTCCATCTTAATCTCTCTTTTTCCTATCTGTTTTTGAGTTCACCATTTTGGTACGATTTTCTTCACTCGTCTTTCTTCCTCCACTTTCTCCCTCTCCTTTCTCTCACTTTCTTTCTTTCTCCATCTAACCCCCTCTCTCTCCACTCTTTCTATTTCCTATCTCTTCTACATTAGTCAGCACGTCTTTCTTTATTTAGGTCAATACCCCAAAGTTGCACTATCTCTGTCTCGTAATCTGCCATCTTTGTTATATTAACCAGCACAACGCGTATATACTGTGCTGGTTAATTTTATTGTCTTTAGCAGGAAAATTATGCCGGCTACGTTTAAGTGACGGAGAGGGAGAATGGATGAAAGTAGTTGCAGTGAAAATTTTGTGGGGAGAAACTCCTTTTTTTGCCAGAAAATATTGTCGTCAAGCTAATTGCTGATTTGTCAATTCACAAGTCAATAAAAACGCACCGCTATATTATTTTCCTTTTTTTATTATTTTTTTTTTTCTTTTTGTGGAATTTTGTATATAAAACGTTAGTGTCAAGTTTATGGCGTACAAATTGCTAAACTACGTCACATGTAGTGTATCATATTTTGCGATCTGTTTGTTTCAGGGCCAGATTTAATTGGATCCCATTCTTCTTTTATGAGCAGTCTCCATTCAGGACGTTGGCGATCACGGTTCTCCTCAGCTAAGAAGAGATTGATAAATCGAAAAAGCTTTATCGAGCATGAGAGGAGGGGGGTTAGACAGAGAAAGAAAGAAATGAAAGAGAGAAAGAGGAGGAGGAAAGATGAGTGAAAAAAAAAGGTACCAAAATGATGAACTCAAAATATCGGTTGTGAATATGACAATGAAGATGAGGATAAGAGCCCGAATAATGTAAATAATGCAAATATTTTTTGGTTGTAAATAATCTGCAAACGTTTGATAAGCCACAAAAAAAAAACACATCTATCACAGCCATTAGTGATTCTGACAAGTGTTAATCCTCTTGAATTCGATCGAGAAAATCGGAGTGAAAAATCGAGTAGGTTAACTGTTGACATTTGTTTTAGTTTGGGAGAATAGTTACTTAATTTAATATGCGGACGTGTTGGACCACTGTTTTGATAATCTGATTAAAAAAAAAAACAGTAATAATTCATCCTCGCAGTATTCTTTTTTTCTATTTAGGCTAGTTTTCGGGGGGAATCCATTCTACCAACAAAAGAAAAGACTACTTCATCTTTATGTTACAGTTCGGGGCCAGCGTTTAAATCGTCCCCTTCTTTATGTGAAGCGGAAATGTCGGAACCAATCACAAAAAAAGTAAAAGTACTGAACCGACAAAAACTGCCATCGGTGCGCATGCGTGAGACTCTATGTTAGTCGTCCGCCATTTTCTTTGCTTTCTGTTTTTATTTCATTGTTAATTCTTCTTGTTTTTGTTGATATGATGATTTTTGCGTTATTGTTTTTATTTCTTCTTTTGATGACGGTCAGCTTCAGTAATTGCTACCGTCTAATTTCTTTTTACTCTCACTGCTAAAGCCTGTAGTCTTACGGCCGTATGATGTTGAAACACCGATTCCCGTACGATCATCGAAATTAAGCAACGTCGAGTCTGGCCATTACTGAGATCGGTGACTGTTTGGGAATATCTGGTGCTGTAGGTTTACATGTACGATTCGTGTAACGGATAATAACTCGGAATTGTTAATCGGAGAACCGATTTCCAAATCCAGTTGGATACGTGATATTCACTAATGCGCAAATATCCTTGTGGAATGTATAAATCCACTTGTTTTCCCTCAACTATGGGTTAATTAGTAAGACTTTTATCACTAAATTATTATTAACTCCCCCAAAAGTTCTTACAATCTAAAACTATTTTCTGACTTCAAATAACTTGCAAAGGGTTTAGAAGCCGTAGAAAACGAATTAATGGGTAACTTCTTTGAAAGACCAGGTGCTTTAAGCATGGATGTGCGGTGGTGTAATGGATAATGGCTTGGAATTGTTAATCGCAGAGCCGAGTTCCAATTCCAGTTTGATTTGTCATATATTCACTTATGCGCAAATACCCTTGAGAAAGGTATGAATCCACATCTTCTCCCTCCAGCTATGGATTAATTAGTAAGATTTGTATCACTAAACCGTTATTATCTCCAAAATTAATTCGTATAATTATTTTTCCTGGCTTTAAATAACCTGCAAAGGGTTGATAAGCCGTAATAAAAGGAATCAATCATCAAGTCTGTCATTCTCTTTTCTGATATCCTTAATTTTATGACCCTACTACTTATATTGATAATTCTGCTAGGACAGGGACTTGAAAAGTTCTCGGTCTATCAAGGTTGATTGATTTGTTTTTATGGCTTATCAACCCTTCATAGATGTACAGGATTATATTTATCCACCAAAAATGTTCTCAACAGTACAGAATCTAGTAACGGATCCCGAGTGATCCTCCACCTGACAGAGCCCGACATTGCTTAACTTTAGTGACTGAACAAGAACCAGTGATTTCACACTAAACAAGACCGACCCAGAAGGAATTATTATTCATATAATAAATCTGTAAATACAGGGTGTCCATAAAGTTCGAGTGCACTTTAAAAAATTTATAACTTTATTTGTATTTGCGATAGAAATAATTTGTAAAAGGGATTAGAAAGAAGTAAATCTATATTTTTGAAGGTTTATTGAAATTTTATTTAAGTTTTCACATGTCCTTCTTTATTAGCAATACAAAGGGTAATACGAATTTGCAGTTCACGGAAAACATTTACAGTAATGCCTGAAATCACATTAATTATTTTAGCTATACTTAAAACTAGGTACATTAAACTTTATAACATTTTTTACAGATTATTTCTATCGCAAATACAAAGTTATAATATTTTAAAGTGAACACGAACTTTATGTACACCCTGTATAATAAATTATATATCAAATTTATTTCTTACTTGACATGAGAAATTTTATAATTTTCTTTCACAAGAACAAAATCGAATTCAAAAACCGAGACAAAAAGTTTAAGTCGCTCATGAGTATTTTGTTCTTGTAAAAAAAAAATATTTATTTTCGAGTGACGCTGGATAATAGACGAAACATGTTAAACTGAAAAATTAAGATCGAGATGATATTACATATTTACCTTTCTGTTCTGTTCTTCGATTATGTGTGCACGTTGTGTGTTTTTTTTTTGCCGGGGGGGGGTATGATCTATTTAGTGCTAGTTTAAATTTGTTTATGACGTATTTTCTTGTATTTGTAGGTAAGAATAATTGTTGGTTTGATATATTGGCATAATTTTAAATTACCCCTGGTTACATTTATAGATGTGTTGTGGTATAAATGAGGGTGATTCTATGTAGGGAATGAGGGTGATTCTTATGTACAGAAGGAAGGATAATTCTTACGTATTGAATGAGGGTGATTCTTACGTAGGGAATAAGGGTGATTCTTACATTTCGAATGAGGGAGAGTCTTACGCAGGAAATGTGGGTGATTCTTACATAGGGAATGAGGGTGATTCTTATGTACAGAAGCAAGGAGATTCTTACGTATTGAATGAGCGTGATTCTTACGTAGGGAATGAGGGTGATTCTTACGTAGGGTATGAGGGTGATTCTTATGCAAGGATAGGGAATGATTCTTACGCATGAAATCAGGGCGATTCTTACGGAGAGAATGAGCGTGATTCTTACGTAGGGAATGAGGGTGATTCTTACGTATTGAATGAGGGAGAGTCTTACGCAGGGAATTGGGTGATATTTACGTAGGGTATGAGGGTGATACTTATGCAGGGATAGGGAATAATTCTTACGCAGGAAATGAGGGTGATTCTTACGTAGGGAATGAGGGTGATTCTTACGTAGGGAATGAGGGTGATTCTTATGTACGGAAGGAAGGAGATTCTTACGTATTGAATGAGGGTGATTCTTACGTAGGGAAAGAGGGTGATTCTTACATATTGAATGAGGTAGAATCTTACGCAGGGAATGTGGGTGGTACTTACGTAGAGTATGAGGGTGATTCTTATGGAGAGATAGGGAATGATTTTTACGCAGGAAGTGATGGCGATTCTTACGTTGGGAATGAGGGTGATTCTTACGTTGGGAATGAGGGTGATTCTTACATATTGAATGAGGAAGAGTCTTACGCAGGCAATGTTGGTGATATTTACGTAGAGTATGAGGGTGATTCTTATGCAGGGATAGGGAGTAATTCTTACGCAGCAAATGAGGATGATTCTTACGTAGGGAATGAGGGTGATTCTTATGTACGGAAGGAAGGAGATTCTTACGTATTGAATGCGGGTGATTCTTACGTGGGGAATGAGGGAAAAAGGAAGGCGTTCTTACGTATTGAATGAGGGGTGATTCTTACATTCTTATTTGAATGAGGTAGAGTCTTACGCAGGGAATGTGGGTGATATTTACGTAGAGTATGAGGGTGATTCTTATGCAGGGATAGGGAATAATTCTTACGCATCAAATGAGGGTGATTCTTACGTAGGGAATGAGGGTGATTCTTATGTACGGAAGGAAGGAGATTCTTACGTATTGAATGAGGGTGATTCTTACGTAGGGTATGAGGGTGATTCCTATGCAATGATAGGGAATGATTCTTACGCAGGAAATGAGGGCGATTCTTACAGAGGGAATGAGGCTAATTCTTATGGAGGAAATGTGGTGATACTTAGATAATGAGGGTGATTCTTATGCAGGGGAGGAAAGTGATTCTTACGCAGGGAAGGAGAGTGATTCTTACGTAAGTAATTTGGGTGATTCTTACGTACAGAATGAGAGTGATTCTTACGTAGCGAATGAGGGTGCTATTTATGCAGACTATGAGGGTGATTCTTACGTATGGAATGAGGATGATTCAAGAATGGATCTTGTCTAAACATTTAACATAGAATTAGCATTAGGATTGCGACTTTGCGTCTGTGAAGAAACGGGCTGCAGGGTGGAAGATAAGTCATATTTCTGAAGTCCGTCAAGGCTGGCAAGTGAAGATTGAAGAGTGAAGATCTCCTCAAAGAGGAAAAAGAGACTCGAAGCAAAATGAACAATGAAAAGTATACTGAACTGTTATGTAATATCTTGTCCTCATATATGTCAGCGATTGCTGGACAATCTCCTCAAAGATGAAGAAAAGACTCGAAGCAACAGAAAGAGAGGAAAGTATACTGAACTGTTATGTAATATCTTGTCCTCCTATATGTCAGTTTGCTGGACAATCTCTCAAAGATAAGAAAAGACTCTTGAACTGTTATGTAATATCTTGTCCTCCTATATGGCAACGATACTGGACACATATCTTCAAAGATGGAGACTCGAATCAATAGAAAAGTATACTGCACTCTTATATAATATCTTATGCTCCTATATGGCAGGGAATCCTGGACAATCTCCTCAAAGATGAAGAAGAGACTCGAAGCAACAGAAACATTGAAAAGAACACTGAATTCTTAACTAATATCTTGTCCACCTATATGGCAGCGATTGCTGGGCAATCTCCTCAAAGATGTAGAAGAGACAGGAACAAAGAAGAGAATACGGAACTGTTTAGTAATATCTTGTCCTCCTATATGCCAACGATTGATGGAAAATCTCGACAAAGATGAAGAAGTAACTCGAAGTAACAGAAATGTAGGTCTACAGAAGTATACTAAGGTTACTATGGGCTGAATATATGAGCAACGACGAGATTTTGGGTTACGTAATAAAGGAGGGCTTGAAAATCCTGTTACTTATAGGACAGATAAGGGGAAATGGGACAGAGGAAAACAGCGCGTAACATATTTGATGAGCTTGAGTAAACGTGTGATAGAACGGGATTTAAAGAGAAAACATATAAAGCGCTACATTGGACAGGAAGTTGGGGAAAGTCATGATCGGTCTCACTTCACTGACAGCAAGATAATCTATTTTCTAGGCCAAATTGTTTGTTAATTATAATACTACATTTATTAGAAAACCTATTTAATTCCAATATAAAATGTGTCAAAAAAGACTTCAAACTACATATATTTCAGCTTGTATGATTTTCCTGTTAACCGAGATTTGTTGCCAGAAAGAAAGAGTGATTAAACGCCACGACAAAGATGTTGTGTGTGCTACTCCTATCGAGCTCCGTCGTCACAAGAACCAGATCAAACCAGAAATGGAATATTGCTGCCATATCTGGATTGGTGCAACCCAATCTTCACTTGCCAGCCTTGACGGACTTCAGAAATATGACTTATCTTCCACCCTGCAGCCCGTTTCTTCACAGACGCAAAGTCGCAATCCTAATGCTAATTCTATGTTAAATGTTCAGACAGGCTCCATTCTTGAATCACCCTCATTCCCTACGTAAGAATCACACTCTTTCCATACGTAAGAATCACCCAAATTACCTACGTAAGAATCACTCTCCTTCCCTGCGTAAGAATTATTCCCTATCCATCCATAAGAATCACCCTCGTACCCTACGTAAATATCACCCACATTCCCTGCGTAAGACACTCCCTCATTCAATATGTAAGAATCACCCTCATTCCCTACGTAAGAATCACCCGCATTCAATACGTAAGAATCTCCTTCTTTCCGTACATAAGAATCACCCTCATTCCCTACGTAAGAATCACCCTCATTTGCTCCGTAAGAATTATTCCCTATCCTTGCATAAGAATTACCCTCATACTCTACGTAAATATCACCAACATTCCCTGCGTAAGACTCTTCCTCATTCAATATGTAAGAATCACCGCATTCGCTGCCATATAGGCGGGCAATATATTACATAACAGTTCCGTATTCTTTTCTTTGTTCATGTTGCTTCGAGTCTATTCTTCATCTTTGAGGAGATTCTCCAGCAATAGCTGCCATATAGAAGGAAACGATATTACATAACAGTTCAGTTTTCTTTGTTTATTTTCCTTTGAGTCTCTTCTTCATCTTTGAGGTGATTGTCCCGTATTCGCTGCCATATGGGAGGATAAGTTATTACTTAACAGTTGAGTATTCTTTTCTTTTTCTCTGTTGCTTCGAGTCTCTTTTTCAACTTTGAGGAGATTGTCCAGCAATTGCTGCCATATAGAAGTTCAAAATATTACATAACAGTTCAGTATACTTTCCTTTGTTCATGTTGCTTCGAATCTATTCTTCATCTCTGAGGAGATTGTCCAGGAATCGCTGCCATATAGCAAGATAGACAACATGCTACATAACAGTCCCGTATACTTTTCTTTGTTTTTGTTGCTTCAATTCTCTACTTCATCTTTGAGGAGATTGTCCTGCAATCGCTGCCATATAGGAAGACAAGATATTAGTTAAGAGTTCAATATTCTTTTCTTTGTTTCTCTTGCTTGATTCTTTTCTTCATATTTGAGAAGATTGTCCAGTAATCGCTGCCATATAGGAGCACTAGATTTTGCATAATAACTCAGTATTCTTTTCTTTTTCTCTGTTGCTTCGAGTCCCTTCTTCAACTTTGAGGAGATTGTCCGGCATTTGCTGCCATATAGGAGGACAATATATTACATAACAGATCATTATGCTTTCCTTTGTTTCTGTTGCTTCGAATCTATTCTTCATCGTTGAGGAGATTGCCCAGCAATCGATGCCATATAAAGAGGACAATTTATTACATAACAGTTCAGTGTACTTTTCTTTGTTTCTGTTGCTTCGAGTTTCTCCTTCATCTTTGACGAGATTGTCCAGCATTCCCCGCCTTATACGAAGACAAATATCACGTAACAATTCAGTATTCTTTTCTTTGTTTCTAACGATTTTTTTTTATTCGTATATTTACTCTTATGTAAATCGGACCTCTGTCTACCTTTTTATGTATTGATTGATTAGTTAGTTTTTCATGATTTATCAACCTATTGCCGATTATTTCAACCAACAAAATATTTTTAGATTTATTTAAACGAACGAAATATTTTAAGATTAGAAAGATGTTTATTATTATAATAATGGTTTAGTGATACAAATCGTGCTAATTAACCCATAGCTGGATGGAGTAGATGTGGATTCATACCTTTCCCAAGGGAAAGGTGTAAGTGAATATAACGAACCCATCTGGAATTGGCACTCGACTACGTGCTTACCAATTCCGAGCCATTATCCACTACACCACCCGCACATCCAATCTTTCCCAAGAGATCACACTTCTAGGTTTCATGCCTCTGTTTCATCTTTGATGAGACTCTTCAGCATTCGCTGCCATACAGTAGGACAGATATCATGTAACCGTTAAGTACCTTTTTCTTTGTTTCTAACGAAATTTCTCTCTCTTAATACTCTGCTTAGCTTTTGGAAGGCCTTCTTTGGCTATCCCAATCCACCTTCGGATCTCACTGTCGCACTTTCTGTTCTCTGTTAGAACACTTCCCAGATAATTAAAATTGTCTACTTGTTTGATTTTAGTATCCCCGATATGTCATTTAGATTTTGAGATCATCCTTTAGGTCATAAACTTGAATTATGCCCCCCTTGTATTAAAACCGTTACAAACGGCTTTATTTACTTCTGTATTTGAATTAATATATTTTGTAATAAAATGTGTAGTTTAAATGGACAATTTAGATTAGAATTTTGTTCAACTTGTGTCAGCTAAGCGGCAGTTTTCGAACTATTTATGGTATGAAAATGAATTGTGTAGATTTAATACAAAAGGGAATATATATTCGAAACGGCTACGAAGGAAATTAATGATGTCCCTATTTGAATTGATATATTTTTTCAAAAATCAATTATTTCAAATGGAGAAAAAAATTAGATTATAAATTTTACATAACTGTCAGCAAAACGAGAGGAACTGAAATATTAGTTATATAAATAGTAATGAAACATTAATAAAATGATAATGAATAGTAATGAAATAGTAATAAATTAGTAATGAATAGTAATGAAATAGTAATAAATTAGTAATAAATAGATATGAAATAGTAATAAAATAGTAAGGAATAGTAATAAAATAGAAATCAAAATCGTAATGAATAGTAATAAAATAGTAATAAATTAGTAATAAATATTAATGAAATAGTAAAAACTAATAATGAATAGTAATGAAATAGTAAAAATTAGTAATAGATACTTATGAAATAGCAATCAAAATAGTACTAAATAATAATGAAATAATAATAAATTAGTAATAAATACTTATGAAATAGTAATAAAATAGTAATGAAATAGTAATCATATAAAAGTATGTTGTGCGCATTCAATCGAAAAGGTGAAATAAGATCCATCATTGAGCCTCCCCTCATTTGTCACCACGCCCATATTTGAAGATGTGTTGGAGACAAAATCAAATAGGCCACGAAAATCGGATCATTAGAAGATTTTATTGAACTTTTCTGTAATCTCGTAATGAATTGGAGTATTTCAAAAAATGCCTTTGTAGAAATATTTTCACGTCTGTCATTAAATCAAAATATACATGCGCATGCGTAAACATACAAAATTTATATGAAATTGAAATATAGATCTTCTGCGCTTTGACGTCATTTTCACAACTCCAGTATTTAAACTAAAGATGCAGAGTGCGGTAGAAATACCTCCTACATAATGGTAAGAGATTAGCTACAGAGTGCGGTAGAATTACCTCCCACATAATGGTAAGACATTACCTACAGAGTGCGGTAGAATTACCTCCTTCATAATGGTAAGACATTAGCTACAGAGTGCGATAGAAATACCTCCCTCCTAATGGGAAGCTGCAGTGTGACGTAAGGATGCCTCCCACATAATGGTATGACGTAGACACCATTTTTATTATGTGGGAGGTATTTCTGCCGCAACCTGAATTTCAAATAAATGTAGCATTTTAAACGAATAAACAATTTAGATTTGAAAAAATGATCCTCTTGATGTCTGCGAAACTACGACTAACAAACTAGTATTAAAAAAAAGTAATAAGAGATGGTTATTTCAGAAAATATCAAACAGATAATCAGAACTGGTGTAATAAAGTTTTGATGAACAAAGCTTTTTTTATTCGATGTGTTAAGACATTAATTTTATTTGTTGCCCTGTTTCTCTGAGTGGGATTGATTGTCTGTCTGTATGTCTGAGTTTGCCGATAATCACTTATAAGAAAACATCCCATCACCATTCTTCACTCAACATGCAGACACGCATCAATAAATATTACAAACAATGCACCCTTCCCTACCATACTGCACCGTCTGTCGCCGTCACAAGTCACTCCGTCTCTATCTCTCATTTTTCGTTTCGTTCTTCTTTTTTTTTTTTTTTTTAAATTGTGTATATTTAATTTACACTTTATTTATTCTTCTTTAAAATCATTTGTTCCAGTCGGTCAGCGCCCGTCACAATCGACTTTCGTTAGAGAAAGTGCCAGCCAAAAATTGACGCCACTAGCGACCTGCGGGTCACGCATGCGCGGAATAGGCCAATGAGCATGACGTCATAAAGACGTCACTCGTCGTTGATCAAAAGTGGCCCATGACTCACGGGGTGTGATGTCATGCAGACGCTGAGGCCAGCAATCTAATCGATAGGCAATGTTTTCTTTCCTATTTTTTTTTTTTTTTTTGTGCCGCGGACTAAATCTATCGCGACTGACGGAGCGATGCTGGGGTTTGTTTAAGGTGGAAAGGTTAGAGGTATGAGGGATTTGTATGAGTTGGCTTTTAGAAGCATGAAAAGGAGAGGTTTTTAAAAGCGTGCGTCGAGAGGATTCGGCTGTGTATGAGAGAGTTGGATTTGTTTGGGTCGGTGTGGGATGATTTGGTGGATGGTGGCGAGGTTGGGTAAATTCTGAATGAGGTAATTGAAGAGGTGCAAAAAAAGAAAGAAAAAGAAAGAAAGAAGGAAAGAAAGAATGAATGAAAACAGATTGTGAAAGAAAAAGAAACAAACATTGCGCAAATTACGTAAGAAAGAAAGAAAGAAAGAATGAAACAAACAAACAAACAAACAAACAAACAAAAAGAAGAGGGGAATAAAGAAAGAAGAAAGGAAAAAGAAGAAAGAAAGGAACAACGGACGAACGAAAAGAAAGAAAGAAAGAAAGAAGGGAAGAATGAAAGACGAAAGGAAAAAGAAAGGAAGAACTGACGGACGAAAAGAAAGAAAGAAAGAAGGAAGGAAGAAAGAAACAAAGAAAGAAACAAAGAAAGAAACAAATTGTGATTTAAATAAAGAAAGAAAGAAAAGATTTTGTAAGAAAAAGAAAAAGGGCTTGGGAAGATGGAAAGAAAGAAAAACAATAAGAAAGAAACAAAGAAAGAAAGAAATTATTGTGAAAGAAAAAAGAAAGAAATGATTGTCAAAGAGGAAAGAAAGACAGAAAAACAGATTGCGATTTAAATAAATAAATGAATCACAGATAGTGAAAGACAAAACAGAAATAAATAAATAAAGAAAGAAAGAAAGAAAAGAAAGAAAGAAAGAAGAAAAGAAAGAAAGAAAGGAGAAAAGGAAAGGATATGAAATTTTGGAAATAAAAAAGCAAAAACAAAAGAAAAAAGAAAGCGAAGATAAGAGAGATAAACAGAAAGAGAGGGTGTAGAAAAGACGAAAAACACTGAATGAAAGAAAAGAGTGAAAACGAAGAAAAAGAGAAGACGATAGACAACAGAAAGAATCATTAAAAGAACACGTGATTAAAAGAAAGAAGAACAGAAAAAGAAAAGAAGAAGAAAGCAAGAAAGAACGAAAGAAAGATTAGATGAAAAGAAAAAAAAACTATGCGGCAAAAAAGAAGAAATAAATAGAGTGAAATAAAAGAAAAACGGAAAAAGACGAATGACCAAAAAAAGAAGATAAATCAAAGAAATACAAAAGGGAAAAAGCAAAGGGCATAAGAGAAAGAAAGAAAGATAAAAGACAAGATTAAAAAAAATCAATACGTATCAAAAGAAATCGATGAATCGATAAAGAAAACAAAATAAAAGAAGTTGATAATATTTGAAATAACGAAAGTAAAGCTAACACAGAAAGAAAGAGAACGAAAGGACGAATGAATTAATTAATGAGTGAATGAAGGAAATAGCAAAGGAAAGAAAGACGGTAATTTATAATCATAAAAAAATTGAGAAAGAAAAGAAAGAACAGAAATTAAAAAGAAATATTTGAAAACAAACAAGTAAGAAATAAAGAAGGAAAAAGGCGATACAAGAACTTAAATAAATAAAAAATAAACTAAAAGGAAAGCTTAAAAGAAAGAAAAAAACATAATCTAAAAAGAAACTTGAAAGAAAGAAAGAAACATACAAACATAGAAACAAAGAATAAAAGAAAGAAAGAACACGATATAAGAGGAAAGTTTGAAAGAAAGAATACTTGAAGGAAAGAAAGATGACAATCTAAAAGGAAAGCTTGAAAGAAAGAACACAATCTAAGAGTAAAGGTTAAAAAAGAAAAAAAAAAGATTGAATGAATGAATGAAAGAAAGAAAGAACTCTATGTAAGAAGAAAGCTTAAAAAAACAAAAAACACAAACTAAGAGAAAAGCTTGAAAGAATGAAGGAAAGAAAGAAAAAACAATCTAAAAAGAAAGCTTGAAAGAAAGAAAGAAAGAAAGAACACAATGTAAAAAGAAAGCTTGAAAAAAGAAAGAAAACACAATCTAAGAGGAAAACTTGAAAGAAAGAAAGAAAGAAAGAAAGAAAGAAAGAAAGAACGCAATCTAAAAAGGAAGCTTGATAGGATGTAACAAAAAAGAAAGAAAGTGCATAATCTTAAAGAAGAGCTTGACCATAGAATAATGAAACAAAACGTACACTCTAAAAGCTTGCAAGAAAGAAAGAAAGGAAGAAAAAAGAAAGAAAGAACAAATAGGAAAGAAAGAAAGAAAAAATTAGTAAAGTAATAAAGAAAGAAAGAAAGAAGAACGATAATAAAAAGCAAAGAACTGGCACGAGTAACGTGCGTTAAAATTGAACGGAAGAAATCAAAGTAAGACATTAAAAGAAATCAAAGAAAGAAATTCATCAGAATGACGTTCTGATCAAGTGTCTTTTAAAACCATTTTTTTTAAAGAATTGAAGGTAAAACCATAAAAAGAAAAGAAGATTTTTAAAAAAGACAAAAACAAAAACAAAAACGAGAAGCTATAAAGAAGAAACAAGGGCTGAAAAGAAAAGTTTGTAGAGCATTCCAGGAATGACGTGTTACACGAATCGAGAAGTGGTCGGCAAGTGGACACAGCAATCGTAAGTTCCATGTTTTATGGAGCGGAACATTTTATAGGAGAGAGGTTCACGTGACAGACGAAGGAACGGGGAAGTAGTTTCCTCTCCAGCCACCACGGTTCGGTATAAACTGGGGTCGGGGAGATACGGCATTTTTAAGAAATTATTTTTTTAAATTAAATCATTTTTTTTTCTACAGCATTTCATTCTACTTCAAACAATTTTCTTGAAATCTTTTATTTTCTTTGCTTAAACGGCCATCTTTCACTATTAGCATTTGTAAGGGGCCTTTTTATAAAGTCCTTTGAAGTTTTTATTTATTTAAATTGTAATAGTCTTCTTCTTCTTCTTCTTCTTCTTCTTCGTAGTCGTCGTCGTCTTTTTCCTTTTTATATTTTTTAAAATCATTTCACCACAAGAAAGGAACACGGGGGTTTTCTGAGAAAGAATAGGAAAAAAAGAGAAACATTTGGTATCAAAAAAATAAAAGAAGAATCAAGACAGTAAATAACGGTTGACATTGCATTTAAATTTTAGAAGATCAAGGATGTCTGGAAAACATAGATCCAAAAGAGCGTTCCACGAGCGAGAAGTGTCAGAGAAAAAATCTGTTAGCATATAACTTACGGTTGCATCTAGCTAATTCAACAGTAAATTGATCAGAACTTGTTGCCAGTCTAGTAGTGCACTTAAATTCATAGAGTCTAGGTACCATGGCGGAAGTTTCATCCGAAAAATTACCATGAGGTTATTTATAAAAACGACCCAGGGAATCTTCATTACGTTGGTGGGAAAGTGACTGAAGCCGAGATGTCAGGTCAGGACCAATAATATTTCGGATTCTTCTTTGAATTTTATGAATAATCTCTAAATATATAGCAGGAACACTGGACCATATGTAACAGAATTATTATTATTATTATTATTATTATTATTATTTCTTTTGATTTCTCTTGTATACACATTTCCTTGCGGGTCCCAACCAGAGAACTAAGGCCAGAAATGGTTACATGATATTTCCCACTGATTATTTTTGTAAAAAAGATCACACACATTTTACATAGATAAAGCTCTTCGTAATATTTAATCTGTACGTGTGAGTACATTTTATATATTTCTTTAAAGCATGGACTACCAGGAATCCACACAATGAGTCTACTGGAATTTATTCGAAGGCTCCAACTACAACAGGAGTTGTTGATGTTCTCATGTGCCACATTTTTGAGATCTTGTATCTTGATAGTTTTGAAGATCTTCAAAAGATACATTACAGTTTGTAGGGACTGCTATGTCAATAAGAAGGCATTTTTGTCTTTGCGGTCTCTGATCACGATATCTGGCCGATTAGTTTTGATTATTCTGTCTGTGTGTCTTGTAAAGTCCCATAAAATTGTTATAGGACCTATCTCCGTGACCAGGTCTGGGTGATATTCATACAAATTTCTTGCAGTTTTCTTTTTGTAAAAGTCGCAGATTTTCCAATGTAGATATTGGCCCACACTGTCATGCCGGGTTTTATATTCAGTAGGTTGCAATACCGTGCAACCTGATACAAGACGGTCAATTGTTTCTGGATATTTATCACAGAATTTGTATTTCGGGTTAACACAGTTTTTCAGTATGTGTTCTTGGTAATTTCTGCTTAGCAAGTATTGGTCCTGTGCAGCAAGAATAAAACCATCGGTTTCAGCTTTTAAGCCGTAGTCATTGACAGGTATGGGGTTTGTCTACATCAGCTTGTTTGGTACGAGGAGAGTATTGACCGTGAAGCGGTATATGTTAACATCGTTAATTCTGTATCTGGTCTGTTGCATCTGGTCTGTTGCATCTGGTCTGTTGCATTTGCCTTTGCTTCCCTTGTTAATGTTTTTGCAGTTGTAGTCGGTGTATTAGGCTTTACTTGCATTTTTTTTTCACAAACTTCAAACTGTTGGCTTACTGATTAAATTTCTTAATTCTTTCATGTTCTTTGACACAGATCATCAATCAGTCTTCTGTAGTTTCTAGGTAACTTTGAAGGCCGATTCTTGAACATTTGCAAGACAATTTTAGTTGAACTAATCCTTTGCCTTCTTCGGAACATACAGACGATCAACGTCAGCCTTGGGATGATGCATGCTGTGGCAAGTGAGAAGCTTTTTTGTTTTGGCGTCCATTCGCTTAATGTCAGCTATAGTCCGTTCAAGTTTGTTGAGGCTGTATTACACCACGGCATTCTGATTTTTGTATTCCGTTCGGTATTCAATGCCAGACGCATACGCCTGTAGTATGCTTTTCTTACTTGCCCCTTTATTTAGGTGTGGTGTATTCCATTTCCATCGCTCATTCTTAGGTACCAATGGGCTTCTTCTTATTCCTGTTATCTAATCTTTATGGCAAAATCTTGATCAATTCATTGCGTTTTTACAAATTGTTACAGAACCTATCTATGTAACTGAGCCTAGGTGATGGTCATAACAGTCTTTTGCAGTTTCCGTCCCGTAAAAGTTGCAGATTTTCCAGTACAGATATTGGTCCACTCCATCATGCAGAGATTTATTCAGTGGGTGCCAGCACTGTGCAATTTGATACAAGATGGTCAATTATTTTAGGATATTTATCAGAGTATCTGCATTTGGGATCAGCACAAGTTTACAGAGTGAGCGCTTGGTAATTTCTAGTTAACATGCATTGGTCATGCAAAACAAGAATAAAATCTTCTGTTTCATCTTTTAACCCGGCACTATGTAACCATTGATGGGCATGTGGCCTAGTGGTTAGAACATTCGCAATCTGAACATTCTGATGTTATCGGACAGGAGGGGTCGATCCCAGAGTGCGGCATATTTGGAAAGTGCCTGAAAACGATACCACGGGTTGACCCAAGCCTTGTGAATGAAATTGGTTAGACCGAAACGTTGGGTGCCGTCGATAGCGGTGTTAGCACAAAGTCACAAGTCATCGTGGCTGAGGGCTTGAGCGTGCTGGCCTTGTTCAAATTGTTGATCTCGTTAGATAACACGCCCTTTCCAAGAAACTGTAACTAAGGACTGCTCAGCATAGTTGCAGTATAAACCACAGGTTGGCTCAGTGAGTGTTGAATAAACACAAATGCACCTGAGCAAGCGTCTGCCAATAGGAACTGGCTAGCCGCCCTGGTAGATGGATATCCTATGCTGTATTCTATCTGCTTTGCTATTTCCTAGGTACTCATAGGCTTCTTTTTTGTTCCAGTTCCCTAATCTTTGTAACACAATCTAGATCCATTGAGTGTGTTTCTGTAATTCTCCCTTTCTTGAATGTTGCGTTTGCACATTTATCTAATCCGAAATGGATACCTATATCTTCACTAAAACAGTTTACAATATTGAGGAAACCCTCAACTGATTGTCGTCTTTTACAAAGAGTTTGAGTAGGTGATTGAAAAATGTCTTGTGTTCTTTGTATCCATAGCAGTTATTGTTCAGTTCATGAATAAGGGGAATTAAGGACAAACAAAACAGAAGGGGTGACAGGGAATCTCCTTGAAAGATTCCTCATCGGATATTCAGGCGGTTAGAAGTAGCAGTGCCTTTAGTGTGATTTAGGTATAATGTGGTTTTCCACATTGCCATGCTGTATTTAAGGAAATTTACTATCACCGAGGAAACATAGTATATTTCCAAAGTCTTAAGAATCCAGAAGTATGAAGCACTATGAAAGGCTTTACGGTAAGTTATCCATTCTGTACTGAGATTTCTGAAGCTTTTCAGGATCAACAGTTGATCTTTGCAACAATATCAACCTCTTCTGTTTCCCTTCTGTTCCAGGGGAAGAATGTTTTCTTTCAGAAAAAAGTAAATACGGTCCGTCAGGAGAGACGTGTTCAATTTATACATGGTGGACAGATATTTTATATGTGGTGGACAGATATTTTTTTGGCCTATAATTTTTCAGATCATCTGTTTCGGCAGGGGATATGTATTACCTTCAGTGATCCATTCTGAGACTTCATTGCGATTTCTAATAAGCATTTAAAATTTGTGCAAGGGTTTTATGGATTGCTGACAGATAATAGAGCCAAAAATCGAATACCTTGTCATTTCTTAGGGATTTCCATTTTGGGGATTTCGTTAGCACTTGCCCAACATTAATCTTGATTATATTTTTCCATTCTTGTAGAGGTTTACCCGTCATTCTTTCTTCTTCTTGTTGGGCACATTCTGCATTGGGTTTATATTCCTTTTAGCTGCTACAAATATTCTTCCAAAATTTATGCACTTTTTCAATAGTTGGTGGCTTTTTTGCATCTATAACTGCTTTTCCAATTCCCCTGGAAATGTTCTTAAGGTCCGTTTGGAATATCTTATTTTGGCGATAGAATCTAAAATGCTTTTCGTATCGTCTTATTCTCTGCGCTTTAACTGCAGTTTATGTTTTAGCAGTTCCTTGATTCCTGGAATTTTATTTAGTGATCTAATTTTATATCTCCGCTTCATCTTCCTGCATTTGCGTGTTGAGACATTTGGGTTTCTTCAGATCTCATCGAGTACCGACAATTCACATCTAATTTCCATATTTCTCGCTTCTTCTTCTTCTTCTTGTTATTATTATTATTATTATTATTACTTTGTTTTCTATTCATTAAAATCCCTTTCTAGGTCACTAGCCAGAAATCTGGAAAGGTATTATATATATATATATATATATATATATATATATATATGAAGGAATATATATATAAAATATGTGTGCTATATTAGTATCTTTATATTATATATATATTAATCTTTTCCAACCATTCCGAGGGCTCCAACTACAACAAAGATTGTTGATGTTCCCATGTGCCACATTTTTGAGATTTCGATTTCATTATTATTATTATTATTATTATTATTATCTGCGTTTTTTTTTTTTCGTTTAGTTTAATCCCAGTGAAGATAGTTAAGCAATGCATTAGATAAGCCAATTAGGTAATCTCAACTTGGTATCTGTGCTGATGACACCACCATTTATTCCTGTCTCGATAGTAAGTGTGATCAGATCGATGAGGTCAAATTGGCGGCTTATCTCAAAAATGACCAACAGTCTTTTGATAATTGTGGCAAAGGATACCTTGATTATTTTAACGACTCAAACAAAACTGCTCTCTATTAATCACCTGAAAGACACTGCTCTGCTTGACATCAGCAATG